GATTGAGCTTTACTAAAGTGCTTAAAAGAAAAAATGTCAGACAGAAAAAAAAAAAACACCAAAATTGGTTTGGGTCCCAAATCTCTGCCACATATGCCCCGACTTGTTAGATTTAAACAAGTAAGATTATAGATGTTACAATGTTAGATTTTCAGGATTTCTGAAAACAGAAATTTTTTTCTGGTATGATGATTTCTATAGAATGACATTTCTGCTGAACTTAATTGGTAGCAGAATCAAGTGGAAATGCTATTGTTCTCAAATCAGGTGGCCCTGAGTAATTATTACTCTGAGAATATTTGAAAACATTCGCATCTTGGAGGTTTCCAGTAATTGAACATGGCTACTTGACAAGGCCAGCAACCAGTGTTCTCATTAACTTTTAGACAATATTGTGGATATATCATATACATAATAAATATTCCATTTGAAGAGTTTAAATTATAAAAATATTCAGTTAATAACCATTAGAGCTTAAATAACTATTACAGCTTAAATGTCTCCTCTAGGCTAAAGGTACTAGACACGATGGTATAGTATAAAAGGTAACATACTTTTTATTCAGAAGGGAGAGACAGCTCAACCAGCTCAGCAAATGCTTTCTTTGCATGTAGAAGGTCCAGGATGTTTTCTTGACACCACATGCTCCTCTGAGGCCCACTGGAGTGACCCTCAAACATGAGCCAGGAATAGCTTGTGAGCACCACCAGGTATGGGGCAAACCACAACCACCACTTGAGATCTGGAGAGAATGCACAACAGACTGCTACTTGTCCGTCAGAAATTCCAACCTCCATTGTTGTTGCCTGTGGAATTTGTAAAGAGAATAGCAAGAAAGGAATCTCGTACCTCACAATTAATGCACTGAGTTAAATTAACTCACGCACACCACTATCCTGAAAATTATATTTATAAAATTATAAAGGAATATATATATACACACGTGTGTGTATGATTCTTTAGGAAGACATAAGGACTTAAGTGAGAGTTTTTAAAAACACGAGTTATTTAAAATCCTTTAGTAATATATATTAGTACCTTATCTACTCTGTCAGATTTTTCCAGTCTCTTTCTCATATGCCATTTTTTTCCTTTTCCCCAACTTATAAATAACAGGGTGGGAGTTAGAACCCACATTTTTTAAAGCAAACTTAGGATTCATAGGTGAAATATAGATTTTTCTATGTGTTGGTTAGTAGGTATTAGGTAATATGTTTTGTGAGAGGAACCAGTTGGTAGAACTTAGAACTGCAACAGCTTGCTTTTAATTTCTTGAGGAGAGATTTTTGCAATTTAACGCTCCTTTATGGAACACAATAGAACTTTTCATTTCAGCAGTGGGTAAAGGTAAAGGCCCTCCCGTTGATCGTCGATTTGCTCGAGCGGGCCCAGTAACGTCTCCATCGGAGACCTTGTTGTTACTGTGTCTGGCATATCGAATACTCTCGGTAGCTTGCCGGGCTCTCCAAGAGGGGTGGAGGAATCGAACTCGGGTCGGCCATGTTGGCCGCTTGTAAGGCGAATGCCCTACCGCTGTGCTATCGCTCCAGCAGCAGTGGGTATAAGCAAGTTTTGTCTTTGGGTCACACACTCACACACAGTTGCATGCAAAGCTTACTTCTGTCTCTGTGTTCAAGGATTATTCCTGGTGAGGCTTGGGAGACCATACATGCTGGGGATCAAACCCAAGTTCATACCTGCTATACTAACTCTCTTTAACATATGTGTATGTATATGCATATGTATATGTGTATATGTATATATGCATGAATATTAATATAAAAAATCAAGTCAAAGTTTCCTACTGGGAGAAAACTAATCTACATAGCTTAATTTCCCTAGGGGGAACCTGCGTCAATTTGAACACGAATATTTACCTCGGTATACTTGAGGAGAAACTAAAGTCTCATGTGTGTGGATTACCATCTTGTTCCAAAGAGTGTAGTAATCACAATTCAGATCCGATAATAACTTTAATAGCATTGGCTAATAATTGAAATGGAAATTACATGTTTAGGTTTAGATATTGATGGTAATCAAAATAAATCTATGTATGGTTAGGCCAGAAAGCATTTCACAAAATTTTTGTACCACTATTGAAATTTGGGGGATTCTCTAAATCTAGACTTTCCTGGGTAAAATGCAGGCATGTTTTCTACATTCTACAAGAAGTCTAATAACAGACTCTGCTTATGGCCCCTAAGTTTCAGGGGTAGAAAAGAGATCTAATTTCAAAAAGCCTAGAGGAGCCTTAATGGAAGAACTACCACTTAACAAAATAAACCTGTTATAAACCCTGAACAAACCTGTTCTGTCACTGTTCCCAGAGATCATAGAATTCCCAATCAGCTTCCAGAATGTTGGGAGAGGTGAATTAGAGTATTTTTAGCAAGATGATAGCACTGTAGCACTGTCCTCGTATTATTCATCGATTTGCTCAAGCGGGCATCAGTAACATCTCCATTGTGAGACTTGTTACTGTTTTTGGCATATGGAATACTCCACGGGTAGCTTGCCAGGCTCTTCTGTGCGGGCAGGATACTCTCAGTAGCTTGCCGGGCTCTCTGAGAGGGACGGAGGAATTGAACCTGGGTCGACCACGTGCAAGGCAAACGCCCTACCCGCTGTGCTATTGCTCCGCCCACATCAATCACATATGATGATATGAAGATGATAGTGGATCAAGCTATCATCTTGATCCACTGTGGACACTGTGGACTGTGGATCAAGATGATAGTCTATAGAATCAGAAGGCTATATACACAATTTGCAGGACCCGGTGAAGACAAAGTGTAGTTTTGCTGTTCAAAAAGCAAGAAAACAGATTTTTTTTAAATATATCCATCAACCTGTTGCGATGTGTTTTATTTTATTTACTGACTAATCTACCACTCCCTTGTACTGGTAGTTAATATTAGGGACTAATTCAGACCTTTATCTCCACAGGTTCCCCAATATCCCACAGTTTAGCCAATATTCTGGGTTTCTTTCCCTTCCCTCCAACTATCCTTGAATCTGTAGATGGCCCCCACCAAACATGCAAAAATAATAGAAGTCCCTTAGCAGAGAAAGGGGAGTGAGCAGCCAAGAACCAGCCCAGGAGATCACTTATGTAACAGAAATCCAAAGATAAAAGTATTAGGCATTTCATGACATTGGTCACAGTAGATTAAACCCCAAGCATGGAGACTTTGCATCGAGCTGGTGCAGCAACACCTGTTACTTCAGTGCCTGAGTGAACCCTGAAGCTTTGTCAGCACCTACTAGCTTCAGGTGAGCTATTTCATTTAGAAATTTATTGGTCATATGTCAGTGTCCTACCTACTAATCACCTTCAGCAGAAAAGCTAGCCAGTGAACCCTGTAATTAGCTTTCCTAATTATTTTTAATACAACAGAAGATTAAAATGAACTCCAGGGTGTAAAATCTTTGCCTCAGACCCAAGAATTTCAAACTATTAAAATGAATGTGTTTGTAGGAAATCTTAGTTTTGTTGTTGACAAGCTAAAAAAAAATAGTTAATAAAAGATCCCTAATCAGATAATTAGTATAGCAGCCATCAGATCATGAAAGTACAAACAAATGAAAAAGCATATGCGTGAGTGACAAAACAAAAACAAAGACCACAGATAGTCAGAAAAGCAGCTCTGAGAAGCCTATAAAAATATGATCTTGGGAAAGAAAATCAGAAAAAGCAAAGCAGCATGGCAGTGTTGAACTCTGAACTATGCGTAAAACAAAATAATAGATAAACTTGAAGAGAATAATCACAAGTATTTTATTTTCCAAAGCAGAGTTTGTATGTCCTCCTCAGTAGGTTACTCATGAATAACTCAGTAGGTTGTTAATCTTAAAAGCACTCTGAAATTACATAACTGGGACAGCAGGTTAGGTCCTTCGCATTGGCCTTCATGCTTAATTATCAAAATCATTCTTCCTTAACCTCACTCTGCAGGTGGGCAACCAGGAGCAAGAGAGGCTACCTGGCCAAGTTGCATGTGGTACTAGTGAGAGCAGGAGTGTCACCTGGCACACTGCCTTTGTGGCTACCCTTTCCGCCCCAAGACATCCTCTTTCATAGCACTAGGTGCTATATATTCCCTGAAGGGATACAAAAGTATTTGTTAAAGGCCTACATCTTGGCTTTCTCTTTGAGGATTATAATCATTAGCGCAAATGAATTCAGGCAATAAAGCTAATGAAGGGCAGGTTGAAAAAAAATGCAATTACCATTCCTCCTCTTTCCTCTCTGCAGTATCATTTTTCTTAGTCCTTCTAATCCCTCCCCTTGTCATACTTACAGAATTGACCATGAAATCATCATCATAGGATCGCTGTTAGGACTAATATCGATAATTATGCATAAATATCCTAATGTATCCCGCAATGAAATTCACCATTTTAACATATTAGTACTGTTTGCATTGGTGTTGACATAAATTTTAGCAGAAAGTAATTTTATTTGGGATTGGAGAGCCATACCCAGCCATACTCAGGGATAACTCCTGGCTCTGCACTCAGGAATCATTCCTGAAGGGCTCGGGGAACCAAAATTGGGTCCACTTTGTACTATCTCTCCAGCGCCTGGCAGAAATGATTTTTGAGTAGATAAAGGCAGATGTTGTTTCTTTCCTTCTTGATACCAAAGGTATGAAAAAAAATGATGTGTTAAGATAGGTCGAAAAGACTTCCAAATAGAGGGCCTAATAATTAAAATCTGCATTTTTTAATCAAATATCAAGAAGTATGTCTAGCCTTCTTTTATTCTTGCATCTGTTTTCTTAATTCTCAGAAAATCTTTCAGAAGGCCGTCTCCTTCCGGTTCTCGAGGCTTCTCAGCGGCCGGCCAGAGTGTGGGGCCAGCCGGGGCCACAGCGTGCCAGGCGCCTGGTACAGCGGAGCAGAGACCGCAGCCTCCCGCATCCCGCATCCCGCATCCCGCATCCTGCATCCCTGCCGGGCAGCCAGGTTGGGCCCACAGCGCACTGAGCACCCACAGCATGGCGCTGAAGAGAATCAATAAGGAACTTGGTGATTTGGCCCGTGACCCTCCAGCACAATGTTCTGCAGGTCCAGTTGGGGATGATATGTTCCACTGGCAAGCCACCATCATAGGACCTAATGACAGCCCCTATCAAGGCGGTGTATTCTTTTTGACCATTCATTTTCCTAGAGACTACCCCTTCAAGCCACCTAAGGTTGCCTTTACAACAAGAATTTATCATCCAAATGTTAACAGTAATGGCAGCATTTGTCTCGATATTCTAAGATCACAGTGGTCTCCTGCTTTAAGTATTTCTAAAGTTCTTTTATCCATTAGTTCACTGCTATGTGATCCAAACCCAGATGACCCCCTGGTGCCAGAGATTGCACGGATCTATAAAACAGACAGAGAAAAGTACAACGAAAGAGCTCGGGAATGGACTCAGAAGTATGCCATGTGATGCTGCCTTAAAGTCAGAAAAACCTGCGTTCTAGCTGGAATGCACTTTAAATCACTGTTCCTTTTTGGATTTTCTTATCCAGCTGCTCCCCTCTCAGAACTCATCTTTTTTTCATGTTATTTTTTGTTTACCCCCTTCATTCATGCTCATCTGAGAAGACGGGTTCTTCCAGCTTTGGATAATAACTGCTTATAGAAACTATAAAGTAGTTACAAGAGAACAGTTGCCCAAGATTCAGAATTTTTTTTTTTTGGAGGAAATCGACCATGTATATTTTGTGGCCAATGTCTTCATTCTAACTTGGCTATGAGACTAAACCATTCCTCCCTGCTCTAACATGCTGAAGAAGCCATCTGAGGCGATATGCCGGGGTGCTCAGTGGTCACATCCGTGAAGCAGCGTTGTTTTAGTTGCACCCATCCTGTTTAAGCCTTCCACTGTTAGAGATATACTTTATGCTCATAACTGATGTGGCTGGAGAATTGGTATTGAACTTAGAGCATCAGCAGAACAGAAAATGTGATGTATTTTGTGCATGTCAATAAAGGAACGGCCTGTTCTTGTTCTACAGAGAATGGAAATTGGAAGTCAACACCCTTTGTCTATCCCAAAATAGGGTCTCAATCATTTTGTAATTTTCATTTAAATTGTTAGGAGGCTTGAAGCTATTAGTTAATCTATCTTCCAATACACTGTTCAATATAGCACTGAATAAATGATGCAAGTTATCAATGGATGAGTGATCAAATAATAGCTCTGCTAGTAATCAATTTATTTTTCGTCAATAAAGTTGCATAAACCAATGGAAAAACTTTCAGAAGCTTCTTTTATCTTATATAGGGCTCAATGCATTAGTCAAACAGTAAGAAATATATTATGAACTAAATCTCAATATACTAAAATCCAAATGTTGCCAATTTATCTCTTCTTAAACATGTTTTTCACACAAAATTTTTTCATGTATTTTTTAGTTTAATTTTATATAACCTCATGATTGGGCATTTTTATTCCTGTTTTACTATCCATTTCATGTAGAGTAGTTTCATTATATCTAATACTGAACACATTGAAAAATAATGAAAGATAAATAGCAAAGGTTTAATTGATTCTTAAACAACACTTTAGCATTCTTACGGGTGTTTTATTCATTTTTCTCTCTGGTACATCTGTGAGTTTAGATTTCTGACCCCAAATAAAGAAAGTTCTCTAAGAGGCCTCACAAAAACCTGACTGTACCAAGGCAGTACTTACCGCCCAAAACTTCAGGTAATTTTCCCTGAATATCAGTCACAAGGAGGAAGAACTGCTATTATCCAGAAGCAGAGAGAAATATATGTAGCACATGGGGGATTCACTTGAGCTTCTTTTCATATTCCTTCACCCAGTTATGATACTCATTAATTTTCTTTATAGTATAGTAGCCAGAGTCTGAGGAAAGGTATTGCATTTCTCAGAGATGAGAGACTAGATTTCCCACAAGTAAGTTGCACCAATCATCAAACACACTAAAGTTCAGAGGAATTTTGAGTGCCTAGAAAAGGAAAGGGAAAGTGTGTGTGTGTGGGGGGGTGGTATTGAGGATAAGTACAGTGTGAGGATGATCCATAGAAAAAAAATTAAAGCACCAACATTTTTATGCCCGGAGATAATGGCACCACTCACTAAATAGGGTGAATCAAAGATGGTGTATATGTGCATAACAGAATTACAGACAATTGTGTGACGGCAGTGCTCTCCCAACAGCAGTCAATTCAGGGAGGAACAGTTCTATTTTACATTGCCAATTTCCACAATATAATGACTCATTCTATAGGCAATTTTACAGACCATTGTGACATCCTTAAGCACATCATACAGTACCTCACCATCAAAATAAAAATACATGTAATTGACCCTAAGAGGATAGATAAGAGCAATATAATAGAAAATACCAAGTTTGGAATATTTAATATTATCATCTATGCATTTAATTTAATTGTGTTATATAGTTTAGCTTTTTAAAATAGTATATTCAAAAATTGGCCCATAAAATTTCTGAACCTTTAGCACTCAGTGCTGAGAATCTAGTAGAGGTCTACTCTGGCACATTACCTGATACAGAAACTATTAAGAAAAAGATGATTATCATTATTGTCCCACCAGTCTCCAACAAACAAATAGAGCCATGTCTTTCCTGGCCAGATAGAAATGGAAATATAAGATTCTCCAGTTATCTATTGCCACAAAGTAGGTCAGCATAAAATGTAGAGACTTCACTCATGGTTCTGAGAGTAAGGAGCTATGGGCTTTTCTGCTGTGGAAAAATTTAGCTACAGTGGCAATCATCTGGTGCCTCCGTGGGCTCTCAGGTCCCAGATGGAGCATTTGCATGTCTTCTAAGAATTGGGAAAAAATAGACCTCTACCAGGACTTCAGAATGATGTTAAAATTGCATGTAAATATCTGGTGGTGTTTTTCTCATTTGAGTTTCTATTCATTATTGAGCCTCTCTTCATTGTTACTTTATAAAATTAACATCTTTTTACCTAACCAGTGCTACAGAAGCAAGGTTTTAATATTTATTTCAAATCACATTCATTTGAGCTTAAAATTCAGCATTTAGTCACATTATCTACTGCCTGCATCACAATGTGAGGTGTGTGTCCTCTCCTCTTTATCTTTTTTACTTTCCATACAGGTTTTTAAATGAAACTAAGTTATTTCACAAAATAAATATATGAAAAAATGTAGCATCTCTACAGTAGCACTGTAGCATCTCTCTTTTTGTTCATTTTTACAATTTTTCCAAATGTGGAAATTATCTGGTACCAGCAGAGTAGGGCTTCTGGGTGTCATCCCTGGGTCGCCAGAGATTGGTAGAAGCAGGCAGGGCAGGACAGGGTGGGGCTTCTGGGTTTGATCCCTGGGTCACCAGAGATTGGTGGGAGCATGCAGAGGATCTCTGTTTCCGGGTCCCATTGAGCTTTTAGTCCAAGGTCACAAAGTTCCGCTTACCTGGTTCTGTGGGGCTTCACTCATGTGTGAGGCTCAGCCTGAGTGTCTGAAAAGCGGTCTGGAAAACCTCAAAGATTGAAGAGCAGCAGTGCTGGCAGATGCGGTAGAAGCCAGGAAAAGCATTCGCAGTGGCCACCTGTCCTTCAACTACAAGACCAAGATGACTGCCCTCTGACATCCTGATGCATCCATCACATCTTCCAGAAGGGCAATGGAGGTTATTCATGACTTCTACTCAGATCTCTTCAATAGCCACCTCGAACCGCCCACATACCAAATTCTGCAGGATGGATATGTCGTTCCCAGTGTTTTCCCTTCTGAAATCCAATACGCCATTTTGTCAGTAAAGAAGCAAATAGCACCCGGCCCAGACAAGATCAGACCCAAACACCTGAAGAATCTGCCATCAGTACTCATCAGTACACTGGCTTGGCTCTTCACACACTACCTGTCTGAATGCAAGGTACCATCCCAATGGAAAATCAGCAGGAGTGTTCAAGAAGGGAGACATCCACAACTTGGCAACTATCACCCGATCTGCCTGTTGATTGTCGTCTACAAGCTGTTCACTTGAGTCATCCTGAATAGGATTGGCAGAACACTAAATGAAGGACAACCATGTGAGCAAGCTGGGTTCTGAAATGGATTCAGCATGATCGACCATGTCTACATGGTAACCAAGCTCATTGAGGTTTCTTGAGAGTTCAAGATGCCACTCTCTCTAACGTTCATTAATTTAAAGAAGGCCTTTCATTCTGTTGAGACTGAAGAGGTCATCTAAGCCCTAGCCAAACAGGGCATTCAAACTCAATACATCAGGATCCTCTATGAGCTGTATTACAGATTCACACCCAGTTCTCACCATTCTACAAGGAAGTGATCATCCATGTCAAGAGAGGGGGTTGGCAGGGTGATACCATTTCACCAAAACTCTTCAGTGCCACCCTGGAGAACGTCATGCAATGACTGGAATGGGAAAGAATGGGAGTGAAGATAGATGGTTGGCAACTGTACCACCTCCGCTTCGCTGATGACATCATTCTAATAACACCAAACATTAGTCAAGCAGCACAAATGCTGGCCTACTTCGACCATGAGTGTGGAAAGGTCTGACTGCAGCTGAATCTCACGAAGACAATATTTATGAGAAACGGACTTGTTCCTGACATTCTATTCGCTCTCAATGGAATGACCATCTCCAATGCAGCAGTTATGCGTAACTATGTCGAGAACTCAACATGACGAATGACCTGGTACCTGAGTTGTGCAGGAGAAAGAGAGCGGCTTGGAATGCCTTCAAGAGTGTTGATGAAATAGCTAAGAGGATGAAGAACCTCTGGCTCCTGGAACATCTCTCCAACTCCACTGTTCTTCCTGCCTAAACATATGCCTCAGAGATCTGGGCTTTATGAAAACAGGATGAGAATGCTATTCGGGTCTCCAAAAGAGGAATCCAAAGAACTATGCTTGGAGTATCGCGCTTCACTCAAGTGAGAGAAAGAATCTGGAGTTCTGACCTCGTCGACAAAAATCAGGGTTGCTGTCTCGTTTGCCAAGGCAATCGAAAATCAGATGGGCTGGACACATAATGCAATTTGAAGACGACCAAATTGTCTGTTACCAAATTGTTTGTTACAGTAATAGAGCTGTTACTGACTGAATTCCACAGGATATCAAAAGATCATGTGGCTGCCCACGTACAAGATGGTCAGATTTCTTCTTCAAGACCCTTAACAATTGGTTTGAGGCTCTTCGTGTTCCTGGAGCAAGCAGATGCTATTGGGCTACACTAGCATGCAACAGGGAGGAATGGAGACGTTACTGGTGCCTCCTTGAGCAAATAGATGAGTAAGGGATGTCAAGCGATCAAGTGGAAATTATGGAAAATTAAGTATCTCTCTGTTATATAAGAGATTAAGAGACAATTGGTTAAAATTTACAACATCAAATATTTTCCTAGAGTTTCATTGGACTTTTATTTGAAATCTTTATCAGTATATTATTCCCAGTGATATTTTTCAATCTATAATGATAATGTATTTCCTAAGTTCTTACAATTTAAAAAT